AAACCCGCATAAAAAACAGAAATGTATAATTGCTTCTTTAATAGAAATGTTATCTTCTGCCGTAAAGTGTCCAAACCAGGCTTTCTGATAACGCATTTTTAAACAACATAGTCATTGTCCATTGCCGGTTTCAGTTGGATATTTGTCACAGTCTGCTCCCGAGTCAGATCTCCAACTCATTTTGTAGATTATTTACGACTTTTGAATCCACATAAACACATCGACAAAATCCGGCTTACTTGACGCATGTGTTTTAAACAGTTTAACCCTTTTTTGAAATTGGTTCCCAACTTGCCGCCGTCCTTCTAATCTTCTTCCATACAGCGGAATCCAAATGAATTATTGAGATCACAATAATCCATCAAAAGTCACGACCAATAGTGGCTCCTTAATTACACTTTCATCCTCCTTTAAACAAAATATTAAAATACTCACATTCCATTACCAGTTTTTGTGACAGTTGTTGTAGCATTTTTGAGACTTTACACTTTAATTACCGCTGTTGCGCCCCCCCCCGTGTGTGTGTGGGGGTGAGGGGGGCGCAACTTCCAACAGGAGTAATTTGGGGGGGCTCTTGGGGAAAAAAGGTTGGGAACCACTGCCTTATGTCATATATTTTTGAATGTGTATATATTATATCTACATGTATATTTCAACATGTATATTTTATTGTATTTCTATTGTTTATTTGTAGTTTTATTATAAAATGCATTGTCTTTTATGCTGCTGCAACAAAAATAATTTCCCAAATTGGGATCAATAAAGTACCATCTTATCTTATACTGTCCTTAAAAGTGGATTACAATACACCAAAAGAATACATTAATATATTGTATAACACTTAGTATTTTGGTTTCACACCAGTCACCAAACTGCCTCCTTCATGGCTTGCCAGCAGGGCTGTAGCAACTATTGAAGAGACACCGGTCATGTCCCCATTATTGATTTTACAATTGTGCAGGTTATGCTGACCTGTTTTTTTTTGTGACATTTGAAATTAAACACACAATGCACATGATGGGTTTTTAAATGTTGATTCTGATGTTGGTTTTCTGATGAAGTGTATTCCTTATATACACTTTGGAAATGTTGGGGGGAAATTATGAGGCAATTTAAAATGGAATTGAAAGAATCAGTTTTCAGAGCTGGTCAAAGTTTAGGATGTGTCTTGCAGGTTGTATTTGGGCTTCAGCATTTATATAATCGACACTGGTGTTGAGTCTTTTTTTTAATCAAAGCTAACTTGTTTTTTTGTTTTTTCAGATTCGAGTAAGGATTACGATTCATCGTCTGGGAAAGGAAAGTTTCAGACACTAGACTTTGACACTTTATTGAAGCAGGCCAAGCAGAATCAGAGGAGGTAACAGGAGGCCTGCAGCAGGAAGCAGCTGACACTTACCTCAGAGCCAACGGCTGGCTCCTCACCTGCAACACTGTCTTTACATTTAAGTTGTTGCCTTAGTTTTATTTTAATTTTATATTTTGTTTGTGTTTATTTTGTTTATCAAAGCTTACACCTTCTATTGAAGTGAAGATTTGTAATGAAATAGTAAAAGAAAAAAATGGAATGAGTCAAATTTAAATATTTTTTTAAAAAGTTTATTTAAATGTACAAATTTAAATTGTATTGAGAATCATTTTAAAAGGGTAAAAGTACATGGGATGGAGCTCTCTAATTACTGGGACAGGTTGTGTTACATTGAATGTACTACGAACCTAAATAAAAAAATAACCTAAAATACTTTGCTTGTTTTTCATTCCAACTGTCTGTATTCTTTAGTTACAATATTGAGAGGCCCTTTTCACATACAAGTTGTCATGTTCCAAGAAAATATAGGTGTAACAAATAAAAAAACTCAGGTTTCAGTATAAACACTGTTCTCTGCAAACGTATTGACTGTAGAAAAAGCACAGCTGAAACAAATTCTGTCAAGTGTCCGAGAGAGCTGGCATGTAAAATACCTGAGTCCTGCAACTGGTTTACCTTAATCTATAATTGATGTGAACACTGAAAGTTTCAAATGTTTTCACGGTATTTGAATGAGAGGAAAAATTGTCAGAGGTGCACCTCAGAATCAGAATACCTTTATTAGTCCAACAGAGGGGAAATTTATGTTACAGCAGAAAAAGAGCCACATACAGCTTAATGTTACATAATGTTACATGCATTAAAAAGTATTAAAGTTATATCATATTTGAGATTAACTCGCCTAGTAGTGAGAATCACCAGGGAAACATTTGATGTGGATAGAAGCAGTAGATGTATATTGGCTTAATAGTAGTGTGACATTAGTGACACAAAGAAATACAATGAATATTTTCAGATGTTCTCTAATTATTCATATTGCCTGATTGAAACTCAAGTCAAACCTTTGTTGGTATTCTCCATCTATTCACATCTTTAATACATTCGTTTTGTGCAACTTTAAACGTTATGGGTAAAATCCCCCCCCCCCCCCCTTTGAATAATACTTTAAACCCATTCCAATTTATCCAACTATTCCTGCTACTTACATTCTTCTTGCTCAGTTTAGCAGTATTGTCCGCTTTTGCATGCAGCATTTACACAGCAATTTCATTCTCGAGTTATTAATCACATCTTTGCCTTTCCTTGTATAATATGAATATGCCAAAAGGGTCATTTTGGCTTACTGTCATGGGTTTCTCCTACACAGAATTTAGCATATTTTAATAATGTAAGCATTCATGGTGTTTGCTGTGAAAAGGGGTATTTGATCGAGCCTGCACTGGTTGCAAGATAATACGCATCACGCTTGCTCTGGGGACTTTGTTTGCTTTTTCAAAAGTTACTGGTAATTATGTCAAAATGTAATTTTGGATATATCCTGGCGATTTAGAACAAAGCAAACTGTGTTTTGCTAACGGGATACACAGACAGGCTCGGGTCATAACAGACGTGCAGCTCCTCCCCTTTGAATGGTTGGAGCTCAGCTACACTCCTAATATGGACTGGAATCTAAAGAGTTTAGAAAGCTGTTGAGATGTTCAACACATTCAATAAGAAGAGCAATTCAGAGAGCAATATCTGAGTTTAAGCTGCATGTTGAAGAGAGCTGCGACAGTAAAACTCCAGGCTCATTTTAAACTCACTGCTCCAAAAAAACAACAAATAAGTTAGTCCGAGTACTTTCCTCTGGTCGTTTTGTCACCATGTATCGTAATAAAGACATGTCTTACAAATGCTAATGGTGTCATTTTAACAAAGAAATGAAGGGCCCCTTAGTGGCAGTTGTATGGTAACACGAAGACACATGTTTACATTGATAACGTTATCCAAGTGTAGAGGCTTTAGCATTGCGGAGTAACAGTGTCATCTATCTCTTCGACATATTAACATCTTTGTTGTGTTTTGTCACTCAGATCCAGTTTTGACTGGTTTAATCCTGTTCTGTGAGCATGCGCACTCGGTGTAAACAGGAAGAACCGAGTGGAAACCAGGGCACATCTACCATCAAGAGAAGAAAAATAATCGGACAAATACGAACGGAAGCCCTGTTTTTCATTATATATAAACCAACATATGCCACTTCATGATAATCTCGATTACAATTTGTAGAAGCAATTGCTAACTTTTCGATAATTTGGAAAGACTTGTTATTCCGTACCTTAGCTAACGTTAACGCCAGACAGACAGCAGCACGATTTATTTCCTGCAGGTAATGCTCGGCAAGTCTGTCTGCAAAACTACAGACAGAAAAATAACTCAGTGCTCTTAGGCAAACCGAGGCCAATATCTATAACAATGGTTCAAAAAGATAAGACGCTGGAGACTCCTCAAGTTGACGGTGAGCCGAGCCCCAGCCCAGTCTCCGGAGAGGCTCGTGCAGAGGCCGCCTGCCCGGTGGAAGAGTCCGGCATCGGAGTCGAACCGACTGGCAACAGGAAATTCATCTGCGGAGTCGTGGAAGGTAATATTGAATGTTGTCTGAAACAATCAAATTCGACACTTGATCCAGTGGGGATGTGAACACAAACTAGGCGTTTCGTTGCGCAACCCTGTGTTGCAGAATGACAACAAACGAATATGGATCTGCATACTATCATAGGGCATCAGCATGCTGCAGCAGCCCTGCTTCGTGGAGGAGAGGATGGTTGTCATCAATTGGAAATACAATCCATTAGTGTACAATCGGATAACACTCGAGTGTGAATCTTAAATACAAATGAAGGAGCGGTTAAAACCCTTCTTTATGTAACACGGCATTATTTTTTGCAGATTATAAATCAGTTGTGATATATAATGAATGTTATATTATTCATTTTTAGCAGGTTGCACCATGAGGTGAATAATAATTGATTGTGTTTGCGTCATGTTATATATTATATATTTGTGTTGTTTGGCTTCCTGTCAAACTGAATCAATACATGCTTGGTAAGACCTAGTTTTGGCCCTTATAAGTGAACCTAAGATGTCAATTTTTCATATTTTTTGACAATACATGGACACAATGGTCTATTTGTGAGTCTGACCAATGGTAACTGACTGAATAAGAACAACATTCATGTCTTATTGCACTTCAATTCCAGCCTCTAGCAAATAGTTAGAGGGGTATTGCATCTAAATGTGCTCTGAAATATAGTTTAATATAGCTCTGCAGACTGCATGAAACTGAATGTATTCTTTGCTAATGCAGGCTTTTACGGTCGACCATGGACTATGGAACAGAGGAAAGAGTTGTTCAGAAGGTACGATGAACTTTGATAATTCATTCATCTAATACCCATAATATTACAGCTTTATTATTTGAGTTGTTCTAATAAATATGTGCAACATTGCATTTCACAGGCAGCAGAAATGGGGACTGAATACATACCTTTATGCCCCCAAAGATGACTACAAACACAGAATGTTCTGGAGAGAGATGTATTCAGTGGAAGAAGCAGGTGACTATTCAATACAGATCTTGTTATCATCTTGCTTAGGGCAAGGAAAATGAGTAATGCCTATTTATTGAGCTTTAAGGGCCATCATATTCATAATGTGTATGATGGCACAATATGGCATTGAGTGATGTTTTTATTTTGTATTTATCTCCTAGAACAACTCATGACTTTAATTGGTGCTGCTAAGGAGTATGGGATAGAGTTCATCTATGCCATTTCCCCTGGACTGGACATCACCTTCTCCAATCAGAAGGAAGTTACTGCACTAAAGAGGAAACTCGATCAGGTATTGCAACTTTGGCAGTAGTATAACCAATGTGTCCAACTCTTAAGATCTTGTGTCAAGACTGAGCCCTTACTGCTGCATGTCATCTCCTCTATCCCCACATTCCGTAAAAATTCAAATTAATTATAAAATTAAATTAAATGAATGTAATTAAATTAATTTTATGTAACTTTACCATATCTGTCTCTATCCCCAGGTTACTCACTTCGGCTGCAAGTCATTTGCCTTACTTTTTGACGATATTGAACACAACATGTGCCCTGCTGACAAAGAGGTGTTCAGCTCATTTGCACACGCTCAGGTTTCCATTACAAACGAAATCTACCAGTACCTGGGAGAGCCCGAATCCTTTCTGTTCTGCCCCACAGGTACATCAGTTTTATTCCCCAATCCATTTAAGATGTTATACAATTGTTTGTTGTCTACTGATTTACTCATTCTTTATTTCTTGCCTTGATACGCAGAGTACTGTGGAACATTCTGCTACCCAAATGTCCATCAGTCTCCCTACCTCCACACAGTAGGAGAGAAGCTACTGCCTGGCATTGAAGTGCTATGGACAGGTGAGTCTATCACAGTTTCCTGTCAACAAAACAACACCATTACCACACAATCATGCATTTCAGAGTAGTAGAAACAACACTGTATTGTTTCCTTTCCTGCAGGCCCCAAGGTGGTGTCCAAAGATATCACAGTGGAGTCAATCGAGGAGGTGTCAAAGATCCTAGGAAGAGCCCCTGTGATCTGGGACAACATTCACGCCAATGATTATGACCAGAAGAGGCTTTTCTTGGGGCCTTACAAAGGCCGCTCCACAGAGCTCATCCCCAGACTAAAGGGAGTCCTCACAAACCCTAACTGCGAGTTTGAGTCCAACTTTGTTGCGATCCACACTCTGGCCACCTGGTACAAGTCTAATATGAATGGGGTGCGCAAGGATGTGGTGATGAGTAAGTATGATCCAAAGCGACTTTGCTTTGATGGGGAAACACAATGATATCTCTGCATCGGTTTATAATACGGTCCATTCTGTGTTTGTTTCTCCATCTTACGGTTGTCCAGCTGATGGCGAGGACAGCACCGTGTCCATCCAGATCAAGTTAGAGAATGAAGGCAGTGATGAAGAACTGGAGACAGACATGCTCTACAGCCCACAGCTTGCTCTAAAACTGGCTCTCACAGAATGGCTAGGGGACTTCGTTGAGCCTCATCAATACAACAGTGAGAGCAGTGCCATTATTACATCTTATCTCTATGCTAATGACATTTCTAGCAGTTATACTTGGAATACACTCATTGCGTTGGCATTGATGGCCTAAAATGATAATATTGTGACTGAAGAACACGATGCAGTGAGGCTTAACTTTGTCTTTCAGGCCGACAGGTGCCTCAGAGTGGTCCCAAAAGCACCGCCATCGACGTGACATCCATGACTGCTCCCTTGCTCTGCTCTTCCACAACAGTCACGACTGTGTTCCAACAGCCCATCATGTCTCCAGCCATGCCGCCTCTCTGTCTGGATCCACTCTCACACCCCTCGGCAAAAAGACCTCAGGACATAGAGGAGGTAAGATTTATTTTCCCTAAATAGTTTTTTTTTTCTAGAAATGTATTTGTCATTCATACAGTTCAGGATTACATAATGGGCTTCTATCAAAAACATTTCCGGCGACCATTTTGGGGGAAATTGGCTTTGATGGTGAGGAAAGCATCTCAATATGTTTTTTTAAAGTGTGTTTTCTGTGTTTTTGTGCAGGTGGAGAAGAAGGATTCAGACGAGGAGCCCATGGAGATGGTGGTTGAGAAGCTAGATGAGCTTGAGCAGGAAGCACAAACCGACCCAGAGGAGAAGCAGGTCGGTCTCATCTTAGTTGAGAAGATGGCTGAGGACCTGAAGCCCATGGATACAGACAAGGAGTGTCTGACAGAGTCCAAGTCCCCTGAAGAGTCCATCCAGGAGGACCCTGGGTCTGACATCGCCCCGATGCAGACAGATGATCAGCTCAAACTGGCTCCACAAGCATTTGTGAGTTTCCTTTACACATCTGCAATTGAAAGCAAAAATAAATTGGAATTCCGTACAAAGTAACTTTATTTTCTGGTGTGTCTCCTCAGGAGTTGTTTGTGCCCGGGCCCGACGAGAAGCCCCTGTTCACCGCAGAGCCCCTCACACTGGACGACCTGAGCCTGCTGGCAGAGCTCTTCTACCTGCCGTATGAATACGGACCCAAAGCCGTCCAGATGCTGAAGGAGTTTGACTGGTTGAGAGCCAACAGCAGCGTCGTGAGCGTCAACTGCAAGAGAAAGGAAACTGAAAAGGTGGGTTAATGCATTTCAATAAACACACACAGTTGGGAGGAAGAGGTCTTTCTGAGAGAACGAGTTAATTATTGACTGCACTGGCCTGTGATCGTGCTGGTTGTTGAAAACAAAATGGTGGATGTGTACTACCCATACTGCCCATTGGGTGGTGTGGTTATTATAGTGGATGGAGTGCAGCATGTGTTGTAAAAACGTCCCCTTCCCCCTATTGAACCTTTTTCTCAAAGATATTTTTGACATATTCTAGCGCAAAATTGTCATGGCTGACTGAGTCACTTTCATTAAACACAATCATCTTAATGTGTGTTTTCTACTTTGACAAGTCAAAAATTCAAAAGTGTTTCATAAACCAAAATGCTTTTACTGCTGTCAGTATTTTGTATTTATGAATTATGTGTCCTAATTCCAATCGCTCTGTTTGATGCAGGTAGCAGAATGGCAATCAAGGGCAGAGAAGTTTGAGGACATGTGCCGCTCAGTCATCCAGATGTTCACACGGCTGTCCAATTCAGCCAACCACACCATCCTATATGACCTCTACCCGTACATCTGGGACATCAAGAGCATCATTTCTATGGTCAAGTCTTTTGTCCAGTGGCTAGGTATGTATTGAAAGGAACCATAAGGCGCTTACCCATAGAGACAGTACCATAGCAATAGTCTGATCAAGTCAGGTAATCCAGGCGTTATTTACTCACACACATATTCAAGCACAAATAGTCAGCTTTTAAAAAAACAATTACACAATGATAATGCACTTTAATAGCTAGCTGCGTTGATTATGCCATGGTGCAATGCTATGTAGTTTAATGATTTATAATGATTTTACATATATTCCACAGTCAGCTTAACAGACTGTAATTTACTGATGAAAGACTTATGGCTGCTAAAGATCTAAAGCCAAAACCTGTAGACATGGTGAAAATGAGGCTAGAACCACCAGTTGTTATTATAGATTGGCCTAGCAGAGATCTGGCTAGTTGCATCACATATCAATAGTTATGATTCTATTCATTTGCCTTTAAACACACGTTGATCTTTTTTTTTTTTTCTGACTGAATGCCGCTTGCACTGCCAGCATCCTCATGTATTCCTGGTGATATCTGAACTCGGCCTCTGTGGCAAACGTTGCAGCAGGGTTACTGCTGCTTGCTGTGTATCCAGTAACATCAATGCTGCATTCCCACACTGACACACTTGCTTCCATTCCTCCTTCTGTGGGGACCGGAGCCAGAGGGAAGCTCCCACCCCCCCATCCCCTCCCTCCATGCCCTTAGCGCGCACGCGAGCTTGGAGAGCAAGTTGACTGACTGTGGAAGGCCATTCTGGTGCATAAACTGAAATATCCACGGTTTAATTCAGCTGCTTTTGAACACAAAGCATAATTCATTTAATACAGTCTCATGGATAAGTCTCTATATCAAAGCTGTAATCTGAATTGTTTGCTCAATCTGTATCAGTGTGGGGCCCATCACCTCTTGCAAGGGTATATTCTCTCGCTTTCTCTCCCTATCCCTTCAAACTGTCTTTCATTCTTTCAGATGGTGCACTGTGATGCAGTTTGAGTGACAGTCAGCCTTGTGATAACATCTCCATCTTTTTTGGAGTGTTCTTTTGAATAGTCTGAAGCACCAGCATGGCCTGTAGTAAACCCCCTCTAACCCAGTTTCGTTCACAGGTTTCTGTCCTACATGGTAAAGCTGAGGACTCTAGCCCACAGTACACAGCAGGCAGCATACCCCCACTGACCAAACCACATACAAATTCCACCACTGGGCCTAATGAATCAGTGTAGGGTTGTAATCACTCTAGCAACATAGAGGAAATCAAGTGCCACATTCAAAGAGGTATCTTTTGATTATTCCTCTTCATAACTGCAGTGTTATTCAGTGCTTAACAGATGACTTCTGCTGCTGCTAGTATCAGGTTTTACATCCATATGTTTTCCCCATATAGTAGCTGTGCAGCCGGCACTTAGTCGCACCCCCCTGGTTAATGTACTGAGAACACTTACTAATAACCTTTCTACTGTTTTCTCCCTTCACCATGTACAGATGGAAGAATCCACAGTACAAGTTTCTACTGCTATTGGATCGACAGTGGCCGATGTATGCACAGTGCAAGCGTCGTGTCTTCTTTTTTTTGCTAGAGGATTTGCGTAGTTTATTATTTTGTTTTTTTAGTAGATTCTAAAATGTTACCTACTGTTTTGGAGGAAATGAAGCAGCCCTCCGGATGAAGTCACATTTTGCGCAGCGATTTAGCTTTAAATCTTAAGTTTTAACTCCAAATTTCTCTCTTTGGCAGCACCTCTCTAACTTGTGTCTTTGTTTCTTTAGGTAGGACTAGAGAAATGTCTCAGAGCAGACTGATGCACCTACTCAAGGGAATTGTATGCTTGGCTTTTAAAATGTAACTATGGCACATGATCTTCATCCTACTAGGGGAACTTTTAAATGTGTAGCTACGTTAAGTGTGCTCACACATTGGCTGGACATTGCAAGAACAAAAGTTGCATGTTTCCTGGATAGCTGTATTTCTGTTAAGGCAATACAGTCTGAATAGTCTTTGAAGTGGAAGCAAACCTCAAAGAGGTCATCTTTTTGTCCCATTTGCGGTTTTTAATCCGGATAAGCAAGTTCAGAGTTTCCTCCCGTGGGTGCATCTGCGTGCTGTGCTGTGTCAGTTCCTCTCAGGAATTGTTTGACGTATCAGGGTGAGGTTGATATGAAAAGCACTTTTACGTGCCCTGCCCGCGCGCTGCATTTGTCTGGTCACATGACAGGGCTACTCATCAACCATGGTTAGACTTTGTTAGCAGGAAAACTACTGTGTACTAAGAGCCCTGTGTGCTTTAGATATATACTCCTTGCTTTGTCTCTGCAGTGCATCTTTGGTCTGTCCTTTTAGTATCAGGCTGAGAGGCCTTTTAACAGGGGAAATGTCCACACTACCTCTCATGTCTTCCTGGTTTGATGACTCATGCTGCCCAGTCATGTGACGAGGCAGATAAGATGAGAATGTGACTTCACACGGGGTGCTAAAATGAGTGGGGTGACGGCAGCTGAAGCTTACTAATGTAGTCCATAGACAGTATGGGTTTCTGATGTCAAGGTAGTCAGATAGGTTTATCACCCGTACTGAGACACCAAGGGGGCTGAACTGCACTTCATTCTGGCCTCTCTTTAGTTTTTGGAGAGCGTGCTTTTCTTACTGCAGCAAAAAAACGATTTATTAAGACCGACACAGAGAATTTAAGTTGCATTGATATCTTGGACCTAATAACACGTAAGCTTTAGTTGCTTCAGCCCCATTTCATCATAAGATATTTCCTCTGAAGAAGTTTATTCCAAATTAGGTCCTTTTTTATGTTTTAATGAATAAAACCAAATAGATATGGATTATGTTATTAGATACATATGACCCCGTTCCTACCCATCTCCCAAGTCCCTTCATCTGTCAGAGAGCCCCATCCTGTGGTAACAATGTCCGCTTGGCTCTGCTCCTAACAGGGTGTCGTAGTCAGTCCTCAGCACAGTTCCTTAGAGGAGACCAAGAACCCTGGGCCTTTAAGGGAGGTCTAGCAGGAGAGTTCCAGGTATCTAATGCACTGAACTTACAGCAATCTAATGGAAAAAAACAGTGTTGTCAGCAAAGACGACAATGGTAATATGTGTGTAGGTATGAAGGGCTTTGGTCTGTCCAAGGTGCGCTGATAATAACGGGTCAGGCTTCATAAAAACCTGGTTCCATCCCCTCCACTTTGTCTCAAAAAAGGTTCATGCCCTTCTATTATTTTGGGCTATTGTCAGTCTCTTGGAGGGGATTGAAACCCAAACTAACCATATAGGTTACAGCCAAAGTTTGGCCTGGCATTTTATGATGGATTAATTTGAATTTCTTTCAGCAACGTCCCAAGGAGATGCTGCTTTTCCCTAGTGCACGCAGCGCACGCGAGCATGGCTAGGTTTTATTTTTATGACATCTCATTTCTTTGCAGGAAAAGCACAACAGCCAACCTTTTGCAAGCGCACGCACAAGCATCGCAGCGCAAGCGGGTACGCAAGCAATGTTTGCAAAGAGAAAACTCCATGATCAAATACACACTAAGGTATCTCTATCCTTGGAGACTAGCAAGACTCACAATGGCAACTAATAGGCCACTCAATCTGTCAGTTAGCTCAATTTGCCTCATTTGGATTTCAATCCTGGAGTTTTCTCTGCCTCTCTGCGCCAGCATCATTATTTTTCTCAACAGGAGGGTCCTGCGCAGCGAATTATTGCGATGTCTTACAAAAGGGAAAGGAGCATCTCCTTCAGACAGTAACACCTTAGCCAGACCAAAACACCAGCCTTGTTTTATTATATTTGAAAAGCAAATATGTATGTGCTTGTGTTGCTATGTTCCACTAGGAAAAATAAGAAAGGTGTGATGTTTGTTCTTGTTGTCCACTGTCAGATCAAGAAGAAACGTCAGTTTATATCTTCATATTGTGTTTTTTAACTATACTTGTCATCCAAAGCGCTTTGCTCTGTTCTGTAGTTCCTTTTGATTTGATAGTGGCTCAACTGTAGCAAATGCACAGTGAGGCAGTCAACCACAGCAGCACATCGCCCCAAACTGAACCTGTTTCTTTTGATACCCACAGAGATTGTTGCCAATAGAAGCGGCAAACGATCTTTTTTTCCAACCTCCGCCTTCATTGCCAACCTCCAAAACCTATTCCATAAGGCCATACTTTCCCAAGGATGAGGTAAGACTTTTTTGTGTTTAGTCGTGCCCTTTTCCCTCTTTTTTTTTTACCAAAATCCAAGTACGGCACCTTCAATACCTATAGTTATCAGGTTTGAACAATATCCTAAGCAAAATGTATGCTTACAGAAATCATGTTGGCCATGTCCTAGTATTCCCAGCAGTAGTGGCCTAGTTGTAGTTTTGATTGCTTTGCACTTAACGTGCCTCAAATGTTGTGCGCAACTGCTATTCACAGCATGTATGTGCTAAATGTAATGGCAACACAATGTATGTATTTCCAAGATGTCTTTAAACACATTTTCTGGTCATTGCTAGTATTGTATATATATTTTCTTCGACTAACCACTGTAACCATCTTCGTTTTTGCAGACTGCCATTTATAAAATCTGTAAAGAAATGTACTCTGAAGGAATGGAAGATGAACCGGTCTCTGAGGAGGATCCTGACCTCATAGGAGACAGGTAAAACATGAAGACCACTAAAGCATGGAGTGCAGTTTCCCCGGCAGTGCAAAACAACATCACTGACTAAATCTTTGCTGTTTGTCCACACAGGTTAGTAGGAGGTCTCCTGTCATTGAGCTCAGACTACGGGTTTGTGTTGGAGGATGACGAAGGGATCTGCGGTTATGCTCTTGGCACTGTGGACGTCCAGCCCTTTGTGAAAAATTGCAAGATGAGCTGGATTCCATTCATGCAGGAGAAATACCTCAAACCTGACTGTCAGAAGGATCTCTCAGACGCTGAGGTAGGATATTTATCCGTCTCTCTCACGGTCATAATATCTGTAGCGCTGGGGATACGATTGTTGAGTTCTATTGTCCCTCTCTGTCTGTAGAAAATGATGCTGAGTTTCCACGAAGAGGAAGAGGGTCTTCCAGACACTTTCCTCTCCAACTTCCCCTCTCTCATCAAGGTTGACATTCATGCCAAGGTCACTGACCCCAGTGTGGCCAAAAGTATGATGGGATGTCTTCTATCTTCTCTTAAGGCAAATGGTAGGTGGCGGTCATCCTTAGTTTTAAAGTAATGTTCTTCACCTATACTTGTACTAGCTACAGAAAGGAAATACTCTATGAGTCTTTATTAGCCATAGTGGTAAGAGGGTGTCAGAACAGCTTATCTTGCATTTGACAAAGGAAAACAAAAACCATTCTGAGAGGAATTGTATCTAACATAGTTTATCCATATGGTGTTCAAATGGATTGAAGGTTTAAAAATATAAACAATCAAAGCCCAGATGGAACTAATCTCTTCGTTCTGTGACAGAGGTCTTGATCCAGTTTGGGATTTTTGTTATTGACTAAGATGTTATCTTTATTTCTTCCAGGGTCCCTTGGTGCGTTCTGTCATGTCCGGGAGACTGATAAGAGAATGTTGGACTTCTACGGTAAGCTGGGATGCTTTGAAGTGGCCAAAATGGAGGGCTTTCCCAAAGACGTGATCATTATGGGACGCAGCCTATGAAGAAACATCCTGCTGAAATAACAGACTGACAGAGAGGCAGCAAGACTACGTGGCTCAAACATGTTTGCCGCCTTCATGAGAGAACAAAACGTCCATGATGATTTTATACTTCATTACCATTTGGGCTAGCCCTCCATAAAACCTCTTTTTAGGATTTGTGTACAGAAGCACAGCAGTCGCACACACAGATTCCCTACGCTGCCCTTAAATGTCACGGCTCTGTTTGATCAGCTAATCCGAATCTAAAGGCAGAGGAGCGATCTGTAATCAGTTGATTTGAGCCAACATGGAAGAGTGGCACTCCAGCAATGATTGCAGAGTCCCACTTCTCATATACCTCCAGGAGGCAGGAAGTGAAAACTCCCAACATAAGCCTTTTTCTGATTTAATCCAAGTAGTCACTACATGGATATTGCCCGCATTCGCTAATGCAAAGTGTCTGTATCTGAAATGGAGGCAGAGTTGTGAAATGAGAACGGTCTGTATCTCAGGTAGTGTCTCACTACCACTGCACGGTTTTCCCAGCTTTAAAACAGTAAAGTTACACAGCTGTCCACATGAACAGGACGACACCTTTGCACAGCATCTGAGGTGTTGTGCAAGAGTTTGCCTTTCATCATCACATCATGGTATTTCCAGTTGCTCCACAATGGACTTGGAGAACGAGGCCTTTAAAGTGGTTTGTTTTTTATCAGAAATGCTAAATCTGCACACACAATAGGTGGAACATTGGAAAATAGTAGCTTTTGGGGTTTATCAGACCCTCTATGAATGATTATCCCAGAGCAGCAAGAAGTATATTTGTTAAGATTGTTAAAAACTCAACCAGGAGTTCCTCTGAATCTCTGTTGAAGTACTGAAGGACATGGGGAGAGCAAAACAAAAGCTTCCACAGGTTTAGAAACGTCAGCCTAATTATTTTCAGCGCTTTGCTTGTGGCCATTTTGTTATATAATGATTTCGTTTTTGCTTATTTCCCTTTAAGCTATTGCCTTCTGGTTCATTGCCTTTGGATTTTAGGTTAATATTACAGAAACCAGTGTCTTCTGTTTTAGGCTTTCTAAAAAGGTATCAGTCAGATATAGAAGGGTGATTTTAGGATATTGGCCTTGCTCAAATTCCAGTACTCACATTTGATGAAACTTTAATCAAATCAGCATTTTTTTTTTATAGCAGTACCCTGTTGGACCAAAATCGTAATATTCTGATCTGCTATTATAAAGAAAAACACAACTTTTAACTGGCATTCACATTGAAATACATTAGTTAAAATGTGACCCTTTTGACTTGAAGGTGTTTTCCCTCCCACTCTCATGAAGCTACTCAGTTTTATTTTCTTAACCACTAAGTTCAAACCTGACTTAAAAGCATCAGCTGATCCGGACTATGCTCAAGAGACATGCTGCAACAGTTCTCTTCAACTGGTCGTTAATAATGGACAATAATGAATTATGTCAGCTTTCATCCCCCCCTGCATTGTTTTTACCCCGCATACTCTCAAATGAATGTCTTAGTGAGCGGTATGCTCTCACCAAAGTGGCACCAACTCTCACACTGTTGAGCTGTGGATTTTGGGACTCAACGCCGAAATTTCCTATCCATCCAATGAATGTTTTCTATTCTGACTCGTTTCCCATTTGTTTTTGTAAATCTTGTGTGGGTTAAAAAAAAAAAGCACTTGGAATATAGATAGGGGTGTTCTGTTGGTTTCATGAGGATCATCAGTTGCTCTTCAGTAGCTGCCTGCCAATGTGATGTTTTGATACTGCGTACATTTATAATGTGCATGAGGTGTATTTGGATTTGCCGTGGCGGTCATTAGAATATCCTCATGTTGTGCTTCATGGAGGAAGAAGCATGCCACTCCCCTCTGAGCATGATACTGTAGTCCGTAGACAGTCTGTAAACACTGTCAATCATAAAGTGTTATTATTTTGTATATCTTTATTGAAACGGGGGCTCACTTTCTGTTGTCCTTTAAGGAAACCAAAGTGCTGACCTTGTTCCATCGCCCTGTCCTGTAAAGCCATCAGATGTGAAACTCACCAACAGGTCTGCTCTTTGTCTTCTGAAACAACAGCAGAATTTTCCCTCCTGTTTTAAAATGTTTATTTTGCAGTTGTTCGATGCTCGCGCTTTCTTCTCTGCCATCAGGTTTTGATAGAACAGGGCTGTTACTGAGGGGAAAGGGCTCCTTATGTACATTTTGATTATCTGAGTTTAGGGTTGGGAGGTTCATAAAAGTGTCTGTTTACCAATGTAAAATTTGTATGTAAGATACGTAAGATTCAAAACTAATAAACCATAATAAGTTCCTTTGTTTCTTTGTCATTTGTATCGCACACATCGTTCTGCTTGCATGTCTGGACTGAGTCGGGCTCTTATCAATTTTGACAAAAAAAGTTATGTCTGTAAATACATGTTTGGCATTATTAGCCAGCAAATAAATATCAGGTTTAATATCCCTGTTAGGGTTTTATTACAAAGTGGTATGAACATAAACCTTGACAAGCTTGGATTTGTGTGATTATAATCTACCCTAACTAGTAGTTAGCCTTACTCCTGAAACAAATCATATTCAACATTATCTTTTGTGTATTTATGTATTGTGGGAAATAATGTATGTACACTAACTAAATTGAGTTATTTTGCAAATTACATACAAATGCAGGGAGGAGGTTAATGAATTTAAATTGTCTTAGAAAAACATTCCAAATAACAAATTGTGTTTCTATTTATGAATAACTAATTTCCGGCAATGCAAGTATTTAGGTGTAATTACTTAATTGTTATTTTCTATTACAGTGGATATATTTTTACTTGGTAACATTTCACGTATGTTAGCATCGGCATCTCAAATACATTCCTGATGTTCTGGAGGAGGCATGGGAGGAGGGGGAGAAAACCATAGAAAACCTGACCGAGCAACGGCGCACAGTTATGACGCGTCACGCAGTCTAGTAGTCTGCGACACGCTTGTTTCTCTAGTGCAGTGTTCATTTCGCGATAAAGTTTTCACAGCAAACGTAATTTTTGTGCTCAGACAAAATGTCTTGCCACGACGAGGACTGCACGACAGACCACGGACCAGCCGGTCAATCCAAGCTGGAGAGCTTCCTGTTCAGTGAGTCCTTTTTAAATTCACTTTCTTCTCTGCTGGCGCACACGTGGGTCTCACCTGTGACTGAACATCGCGCTTTAATACGTCTTTATTTCAGCCAGTTCACGCGCTTGCATGAAGTCCTTAAAACTGTTACTAAATCATACTTTTCTTTACGTGTCTTCCAGGCTGTGAGCTGTCCTCTAAAGTGCCTTTCTACACTTTCCAAGGAGATGAAGAAGAGGACCTGGAGCATTTCCTTGAACTCAGAACAGTATGTACAATTATTTGGTATAACCAGACTCACCACATAAAAGTTTATATCTAAGGCTGTGAAACCATACTGGCTACTTAAGATTTGAATGAATATAACCTGAATTATTTGTTTTATTGTGACAGATTTGTCTGGGAGAGGGTGCAAAGGAGGAGAGTAATGTGGTCGAGGTGACGGCCATGAACCACCAAGGAAAGACTGTGTCAGTGCCCATCGCCAACCTCCACATCAGCTGCCTTCCCATGGTACAGTTGGCTATTTATTTACATGTAACGACAAAGGGATAGTTCAGATTTTTGTAGTGAGTAGATGTTGGTCTGCACACCACCAGTTAGCAGGGGAGAATGACAGCACTCAAGCAAAGAAATGTACTGATGTGTTGATGGGATTTCATCAAAATGTATTCCAGCCAACTTAAAAAAATCTATATCTATATATTTAGATGATTTCCCACCCTTTACCTTGTCGTCAGATGGGGAACTGAAGCCATATATTTATATTAAAAGCCACCAGATTCCATTGCTAAAAATATGTAATTGTATCTTGCAGAATACAGATGTTACTGGTCTATCACTGCCTCAATCAGTTATTTTGTTGTTTGTTGTCTGACTTTGGTGAATCCAAAAGAAAGCTTTTTAAAACACCAATGTTTTTAGACCATCTGTTTTTACATGGTAGAGATGTTTCTCAACTTTGACCTTCTTTTCCTCAGGTGAGTCTGGGAGAGTTTGAGCTGAAAGCCCCAGTGACCATTCGGCTGAAGGCTGGGACCGGACCAGTCACCATCAGCGGGTTACACCTCATAGGTAACTACTAATCTTCTCTTTTAACACTCTCATACTTTTAAAAAACTGTCAACATCTCTGCTGTCTGTGCATGTTAATATTAGATCCAAATGTAACAGAATTTGATTAATATTACAATAGGAAGCATCATGAATTATTTGAATTTTAGTATTGCCTGTTCTGCACAACCCTCCAAATATTTAGCACATTTATACATAAGCTATCTCTCATCCACCTCCATAGCAATACTGCACATATTTGATTTTATGATTCCTATTACTTCGCAACAGTATACGGCACGTAGTTATTTAGTATATCCAGATTTGTCATGTTAAAAAATAGTTTCAATTGTTTTTTATTTTATTTGTTGGTTGTTTTTTTTTCTTAAATTTGATCTTCTTTAACTGTGTTTATGTATGCACAATGTACACCAAGACAAATTCCCTGTATGTGTAAACCTATTTCTGAAATATTTTTACCGCTATCTTCCCGATCAATATTTAAGGCGTGTAATATAATTCCAGTAATGTTTAAAGGTTAGATTGTAACAGATTTAAAATGAATTACTTGTTGTAATAAGTTTGTGTAGCTGCATATTAACTATACATGAGGTCAACTAAAAGCGCAGATAAATAATTTTGAGTTTCATAATTGATCAAAATAGTGATTTAACTTCGCCCTCTGCTCTTTTGCAGCTTCAGAGGTTGAGGAGTCGGATAACATGTCTGATGACGAGGATGACGATGAAGACGAGGAGGAAGAGATCACCCCCATNGTACGGCTCCTTATGGGTACTGCCATTTCTGAAATGCCGGAGCGGCGTTCTGGCGTTCCGGTGCTCTCTGTCAAAACTGCACCCCTGTCAGACACGTCAGGCTCCTGACGTGTCTGACAGGGGTGCAGTTTTGACAGAGAGCACCGGAACGCCAGAACGCCGCTCCGGCATTTCAGAAATGGCAGTACCCATAAGGAGCCGTACTGAAAATACATGCCGCATTTTGCGTGGCTGTGTCTTTAGTTGAAAGCCCAGTGGCGATCTGTTCATCTGTCAATAACTTTGTTATTAGCATCTGGTTAGCTAGCTATGCTAACGAATATAAGAAGCTTTTTCTCCAACCAGTGAGGTAAAGGCACATCTTTATCATCATCTTTATTTATTTTATCTTTATTTATCTGTTGTTATTTTGTTTTTACTTGCTTGCAAGCGCTTTGAGCACCAGGAAAAGCGCTTTATAAATGTAATGTATTATTATTATTATTGATATGATCCTTTATAGTTATAAAAAAATAAGAGAATAAAGTAAACAGGTATAAAATACTGTATGACAGTAAAACAAAATTGTTATTAATAAAGAAGTTTGCTCTGGATTTTCCCTGCAGTTTGAAAGGGAGTGATTTGTAAAATATCCATAAAGAAAAAGAAAATCTGCTTACAGTTCTGTTTCATATGGATGTTGAGAGATGTATCCATAGATCTCTTCATGTTGCTCTCAAAGTGCACCAGATTGATGCTTTTAACTTAAACATTTAAAAACAAATCTTCCCGGGGGAGCATGCCCCCCGGACCCCCCTAGAGGGTGTGAGGTACCTCCCCACTTAAATCATGTCCACATGGATATGAAACTAAATACATTTGCACACATCTTGTGTCCATATCTTTCTGTTGTGGTGGTCATGCCACACCGTGCATGTGCATGCATGCGCGAGTCATGGTGAGGTATCTGGATTAAGAGGATGCTTTTTCTTTGCACAGCATGAAAGAAAGGCGAAATGAATGGGCTGTGATTTTAGTTTTTTTAAGCAGAGGTCAATAATTTGTACGGCCCACGGAGGATGTTGAAAAAATTGAAATGGCCCTTGAGAGGAAAAAGGTTCCACACCCCTGGCTTAGACTGTCGGGGGACACCTACTTCTTCCTTCTATCTGTCTGTACCCTGAGTCGTGGCTGATCCTGTTTCTGTGGTCCTGCCTGACTCATCATACTACTTCCCTGATGGCTCCCACAGGGTTGTTGACATCCTCGTGGATTCATCTTCTTATTATAGACACATGCATTTCCAAACATTTGATCTACCTATGCTGAAAAATGTATTATCTCTTCGATTTACAAACGGCATCGATTGCACGTCTGTCCGCCCTGGGAGAGGGATCCCTCCTCTGATGCTCTCCCTGAGGTTTCTCCCATTTCCCCCTTTAAACTGTGGGGTTTTTTCTGGAAGTCTTTCCTTGTATGATGTGAGGGTCTAAGGACAGAGGGTGTCGTATTGTCATACTGATATTCTGTACAAACTGTGAAGTCCACTGAGACAAATGTAACATTTGTGATATTGGGCTATATAAATAAACATTGATTGATTACGTTTTTAATAAACTGCCTGATATTTAATATGTACTATTGAAACGGCTATACAATCCATGATGCCCCTAGCAACCATATAGGCATGATTCATATACCGCACCTGTACAATCTTCTGGTTCTGCTCCACTGAGCTCGCCCGTGAGGGGACCCAGAGCGTGATCTCGAGCGACTCCAAGAGCCTGAACGAGAGGAGGAATATGAGAACCGCCTCCTCCTTCTGGGAGGGGAGCGGGACACCGAGGGAGAAGACCGAGAGGAAGAACGGGAAGAGGAGCTTGAACTACTATCAGATTGATGAGGACGATACCTAGAAAGGAAACAGGAAGGAATACCAGGGATGAACAAGGGAAATAATGACCCTAAAATGCTTATCAAGATGCTACATGAACCCAGGGTCTCATGTCTTTGGAACTAACCTCTTCTTAGATGGTGAGTGGGATCTAGACCGAGATCTAGAGGAATGGGAGTCAGACTCTGAACTGCTGGACATGGGGCTGGGAGAATGATGGGATCTTCTTTTTCTAGAGCGGCCTCCAGTCCTCTCTTTGGAACTGGATCTGGGGCTGGGTGTGCGAGAAACAGCTTGTCGACGGTATGTTCTCCCAGAATGCCCACTCTTAGGGCCTCCTTCTTTCTCAGTGACATCAGTCTCCTGCCGAGCAGGGGAAGCATCTGGAGTCTCCAGGACAGAGCTTCTCTCTGTCATACCAGTCCTGTGATCCAGGGGCTCTGCCAGAGGAAGCTTTCGTGTTTGGGCTTTAATCACAGAGTTTGTGGCAGACAATGCCAGGGCAGCAGGAGGAGTTTGTGTAGTGGGTTGCTTGATGGGTTTAATAGTGATAAAAGATGGCTGTTTGACATTCCAGCGCTTGCCTGGCTCTCCAGAAGGGCCTTTGTTGGGGAGGCAATAGTCGTGGTCCATGCATGCCAACTCGGCGGAGACAGTAGCAGCAGCAGGATAGGGTTTGCTGCGGGACCTGACTGAGGGCAAGGGCCGGGCTTCTATCTGGATAACCTTGGCGGGGCTCAACTTTTGGGCCTCAGCTACCTTGCTCTTTCCAAGAAGGGCCAGAGCGGCCAGGGGTTTCCACATCTGGTGTGGGGGAGTAGCTGGAGGAGTCAAAGCTGAAGCACCGGAAAATAAAGAGCACCACAGTTAAACCTAACACTCAACGATAGTTGGTAATCTGTTTGGCAAGGTGGCAAATCTATGACTATGACGCATGATTTCAAAACACCATACCTAATGATTGTGCTGTTTGATTAAGCCATACAAGAAGACAACAGTATTTTCTGATATCAGTTGTGTTATTTTAATTGAGTGGAATTGTCTTAAAGCTTAAGTCAAAATGGTGAATTAGCTGTGACTTGCATTTAAAAGAACAACCTGGGGGTGTTGCCAGGGGGCTCCAGTTATGAACAAGCCTGAATTTGCTTTAGCACTGTAGCTTGGCCTAAGAGGTCATGGATGAGACCAACAAGGTTCAAAGACAGTGCAATTTTCTAATGTCATAGCCATATCAAGATGTAAACAGTAAACTCTTGTTACCTGCAGGACTCGAAAGGTTATTTGCTCTCACATGCTCCACAACCGTTTTCTCTGGAGCCGACTCAAAACTGTAAACCGAGAACAGTTGCCGTTAGTATATCACTGCTAAATATTGTAGCTTCCACTTCTTGATTACAGTGTAGAAAAGTCTAGACAAAAAAAACCCTGTGAAGCCAGGTCGAAGAAACGTAATCCTGAAAAGGCCATCACTGTGGCCAGACAAAAGCAGGGTTTGCGGTAGGTCTTGGCAAAAGGTGTGTGCATCATTTCCACACACACCAACAGGTCTCAGAGAAACCCAGACTCCACTCAAACAGAGCAGCTTCAAAGCTGTAGGGTAACTCACCTCGAGTTTCCTACAGCTGCTGCTCTACCAGAGACCTCCGGCACACATTTCCCCTCCTTGGCTGGAGAGAGAAGGAACAAGGAAATAAGTGCATGAGCCCAAAAAAACAACGAGTACACAAGGAATATGATAGATAAAAACTCAGCTTGACTATTATAGGATGAACTATACAACTTGCAGCATGTAAGGTGTACATGTACATCTTTGGGAATTCACCATGTGGTCAGTGGTTACACTTAACATAATACACCCTATGAGGGTTCAACAACAAGCCCGCTAACATGAGTAATGGCACATACAGAGTCCAGCTACATGTTAGGTTTGGGGCTTGTAGATCCGGCCAAACAAAGACAGCAGGGCGAGAGTTAAATGGATTTGCAGACAGGGCAGAATTCCATCAGCTGAGCAGACAAGAGCACAAAACAGCTCCTCTGCCCCCCGCAGCACTCATCTCTTAAAGGGGAATGCTTCAGTAGGAAACAAAATCATGCATTTTGAACCATACGAAGTCCCCCGCCCCCACACAAACCTTAAACATTATAACGCACTTCTCTATGAAGATCAGATAAGATTCAAGCTTTGCTGGTCAGAAATATGAGGGAATAGACATTAACCTTCACTTCATGACCATCTTCAAGGCACAGCACATGCACAATTATTTAAGAAGGCACCAGCTATTCATTGTAGTGCTCTAGTCATCTAGCCCTTCTAGCTTTAATCCCACTGCCACCAACCAGAAATACTCAAACATTTAACTATGTGACACACTAAGCTATGGCCAAAACAATAACCCTTGTGTCAGAAATGTGGTATGAGAGGAGAATACTGCAGTGTGTAACATTGTCAAAAACTAAATTATACTATAAAAATCTGCCATTATTAGTTACCTTGGGTTTCCTCAAACTGCTCCAGCAAGCTGGTCAGATCAGCAGCTTCAATACCTAAAAAATAAAATTATAAAAAAAGAAATAAAAAAAAGAAGTGTCTTAACATAAAAACTCAAATATAAATTATACCTAATAATCAACCAATACATTAGATACAGGCTAAATTGAAGTAGTGACGGGTAGTACGTGTTACTTTAAAATACTGTCAATACTTGGTGAAAAAAAGTATTAAACTTCAAGCTTACCTATCTCTGTGGTGAAAGCCTCAATTAGCTCCTGTGTGGCGCTCTTTGCCTTCGGGGGTTTCACCGCTGCAGTGGGCTTCTCTTTAGTTTCAAGTAGAACAGGTTTCAGCTGGGTAGCTGCAGGAGAACTCATCTGGGTACCATTGACTGTGGGTTTTGATGATTTGCCATCAGTTGTAATGGGGTTCCTTAATGACTTAGGAGCAGTAAGCTCCGGTACCTTCTGTAAAACAACAATGTTCTTCAGGGGGGCACTGGGCGCAAACACAGTGGTAGTAGCCGCAATGGGTTTGATCGCCTCTGTAGTGGTTTTAGAACAGGTTTTGGTGAGCTCTACAGACTTTGGAGATGCAGGCTGAGATCGGGGCCTTTCATCATTTCTTCCTGAAAGTGAGGGAGAGCATTTCCCTTCTGCTGGAGGCGCAGAGCTTTGAGGCACACAAGGTGATGCAGGTTGAGCTATGGTATGATGATGTGAGGGTAAACTCTGTGCTGACTCAGGCACGGGGACCGACTGCTTTTGGGGAAGAGAAGCTTTGGAAGGTTCAGGTCTTAGCTGGGGTTTATGAACCGGTGTAACCTTGCTGGATGAGGCAACCATGTAGGCCGGTGGCGCCAACAGTGCCTCGGGTGTGGGTGGTGCACATGGGCCCCTTGGCTGCCAGGCAGGCCGGACCTCCACCACTTCTGGCTGGGGGTTGGGCCGTCGAAGGTCTTTGGGGCTGGGGTTGGGGAGGCAGGGGATGAGGGGAAGCTCTGTAGGAAGCTCTGGAAGGCTGGGCCACTTGGTGCTGTTGTCGTCTGCCTTTTCCACCGGAGCTGGCTTCTTCTGCAGACGGAGCCGCCGGTACTCTGCTAGACTGAGTGATTTAGGCTTAGGCTCTGGGACTACAGGGCCTGCTGGAGGAAGGGCCTCACTAACAGGTGGCATCATCTGGGGTGTTGCTGGAGTAGGAGCAGCTGCAGGGCTCTCTGAAGACATGCGGGGCAGGACAGCAGAGGGAACTGCTGATGAGACTTCCAGCTTCTCAGGGGCCAGCTGTTTAGGCATTTCTTCAGGCTGCTGGGAGCTCACTGTTGAGGGGGAACAGCTAGGGGGACTCTTCTCAGGGCTAGCTTTTAAGGATGCTAGTTCCTGTCTAGGTGACACAGGTGTGGCAACATGCACATTCATTTGAGGTTTTTTGGTGGTGATTTCAGTTTGGCATGAACTTAATTTATTAGGTTTTACAGTTGAGGGAGCTGGAGGTGAGACAAGAGGAAGCTGTGGGGCTTTGTTTTTCTTCTTTTCTTTGACTGACCTTTCAAGTTTTTTCAGAGATTCCTGTGGCATCTTTCTTACTTTGCCACTTCTCAAGACCCTTTCCTCCACAGGTTTGGGTTGGTGCTGTTCCTTGCATTTCTTTTTCTTTTTTCTCCGAGACGGACTTTTCTCTCTTATCTCATCCTTCTGTCTCTCGATGACCATTGCATCTTTCACATCTAAACATAGGTGTGATGTCACAGGGGATAACACTTCATCTTCATCGTCAACGACTATATGCTCGGAAGTGTCTGAGGCAACTTCTTCTGCTTCATGCTCTAAGAACTGCTCTTCTTCTCTAAATGGAAAAGATCCCGGCAGATCCATATCTTGGATTGCAAAGATGGGTTCTCCATTTTCACCCTGGTCTACAACTTCAAGTAAGATGCCTCCTTCGGGCAACATCTGTTCCCCCTCGTCGCCCTCCATACTATAGGCCATACAGTACGGGTGCATATGTCTGACCAACTCTCCTAGGCTAACTGAAATACCATCTTCTACCTCCTGCTCAAAAGTGTCAGGAAGTGGGAGGGTCAGTTCTTCCCACTGTAGCTGGTTACTGTCAGGAGATAAACTGTGACTCATTGGGCTCAGACTGAGGGAGCCATCTTCCTCTTCCTCCCCATCACTTCTCTGGAATGCGGCCAGTAGCCTAGGTAGGCTCTGAGTACAGATGGGAAAATATATAAAATATCATTCAAAAATGTGTCTGTTGCACAAGGTAATATGTGTTACTTATGAGTAAGCAAAGCTACCTTTCCAGTTGAGAAGGATCCTGAGCTAAAGTGTGTGTCTTTCTCTGGAGGGGAACGTGAGAGACACAGCAATCTCCTGAGCTGGAGAATAAAAGATAAACAAAAGCTTAATGACAAACACTTTTCTACAGTCTTTACAGACCTATAATACACATGTTTATTTAAACAGAGGTCAGCAGGTTCTCTTTCCAGACCCATTATGGGGGATGATGAGAGCAAATGTATTTGAGACACTTTAAGAGTTATGTCTGGCAGCTGGACACTCACCGGAGAGTGTTCCCGGCCCTTTTGACCGGACAGCAGGTCTGAATCAGGCAGCGTGTCAAATGGGGACAGGTTCTCATCGTCCACATTGTCAAGAATCTCTGTCAGGGCTGTCAGCAGCGTGGCTTCACTTTCCTCATCTATTCCTTTAGTCTAAATACACACGTCGGAAAAAAAGGTCAATGCGGAGAGTCAACAAACAACTGCACACTGCTGACACATTAGAGAACCTTCTTGTAACACTTAAGTTCAACCATTTGAAAGTGGTCTTGCCTCTATTGTTGGACTGTCCTCAAAGATGGAAAGAATCGAAGGGTCTAAACAGCTTTGAAGGGCCTCAAGAGTCTCTGCGGGGCTCAGCCCATCAGTCTAAAGAGGGAAAAAAACATTTCAGTTGTTTGACAGACCAAACTGGCAACATGATTCAGGATAAAAAAATGGTGATTGGCCATGGACAGTTTCAATATTAGGGTTACCAACACACAGAGTAGAGACAAGCTGTTGTATTTGAAAACAAATGTTTCAACCCAAAGTATTTCAAATTCAAAGACAAAAACCAAATAATGCAAACAGTCAGTATTAGCATTTTAACAGCTCACTTAATTATATATTTAAGGGGTTAAACATCTTTGAAGTATAATATATGAACCACTTGGTTGTATTTCAATTTCAACTGGACTGGGAGGAGACACAAGTTAACAAAATACATTGTTAACAAAACCCAGTGTTGTACGTGTAAATGTGTTTGGCAAATATTGTTAAAAAAGTAACATTTGGAAAGTGAAATCTGTAAAATATAATCTTGTTTATTTGGTTGTTGAAGCTGAGTGTAAGCCGAAGCTCAAGTGAGGCATTTGAAAATGACAGAAAGGAAACCCCACAGGTCAAGAGAGAACAGTGTTTTTATTTTCAACTAGAAGAAGAGGGAAAGAAAATACCAAAGACATGTAGGCTACTATCTAATAAAAAAACAAAAGAACATTGATACTGATTGGCCATACAGGAATCCCATACACACTTATTATCAATACAAGTTATATAACTTCACAGATAACCTGTGATCAGAATATAAGTTGTATTGACAGCTTTGTCCAAAGAAAAAAAACACATTGAATGCATGTTGTGTTAAGTGCCCAATTATTTTATAACAATTCTTCTGATTTTAAATCATATGCACACCTACAGTAAGTCTAGCACATCGTTGAACTATGCAATACACCTAAATGATAACATTGTGAACTTTGATCTAAGAAAGCAGTCATACAGTAACCCACGTGTTGCTGTCTACGCATGCACACAGAGCGCAGACATTTTTGATCCTCGCCTCGCCCCGTCGACAGGAAGCAACCTAGCCCACGTGTTGCACTACAAACAAACATGAACAGGGCCCTCGTATAAGCTCCTGTATGATATTTCAAAAAGTACCAAACGAGAATACATTTGATCAAACGTTAGAAACGCCAGGTAGTTATTGATAAAGTATTTGGATGGCGAGTGTGTGTGTGTACAGAGAGTATATTGATGTGTGTCAGCTGCGCATGTGTGAAATGAAGCCAACATGTGATCCACCACGACTAAACCACATGTAGATACCGGATACACAGGTTTTGAATGAAAACGTGGTGTACTGCCGCAGTGTCAGGCTACATAATCAAACATGTCTTAATTAACTATTCTTATTTCAGTCATTGTACACTATATAAATTAGCTTCATCATCGTGTGCCCTATAAATGAGTTGATGACACATTACTGCAATGTGCTGGCATGCAGCCTATTACAACCAGAGCATAATTTAGCACCTTAACCTTTGTTAAGCAAAGACATGGATAACGCTAAACATCCTCACTGCAGTGATGATAAAGCCAGCTGAATAGCATTTGCAGCGATTGTTACCACGTGTGTCTGGGTCTAGATGAGCAGTAAGAGCACGTTTGCACACGGATGCAGCTTAAATTCGTATGACTGATATTGATTATACACTTATTGGGCATGCTAGGCCAACTACCAATAAAAATACACAACTGTCACTTCTTTTATTAACGACTCCTTGTTTTATAAAGGGAGAAAACCTGCGTCGTTCACCAACAAGCTACTGGCTCACCACCTAGCATTAACATACAGCTAAAAAAGCACCAGCCCATTCTTAATTAAGCTGTATGTATTGTTTCAAACCTATACCACCAACGAGCTATCGAGCTGTACTGTTTACAAGACAATGAGTGCTTTCTGAATTCAGTTTTACAAGTGATACTACTGTGGCATCCACGTGTCACTTTTCCCATGCGCAGTGTACAACTCATACACACAACATGCTCTGTCCTGCCTCTAAAACACACACACAACTAATAACATTGGGTTTACAGGATAGGAAATAGAGTAGATAACATATTATTTACCTCGTCAAGTGTATCCATATGGAACATATCCATATTACATGCAGTTAACGTATCCTCGCCAGCACCCCACCGCACCGCCATCTTGCTGGTACACTCCCTGGACCCGACTCGTTTAGGAATGAGGAGAGATGAATCGAGGACCAGAGGAACAAGCACGCCGGTAGGACACACGTGGTCCGACATTCCCGGCAAAAGGACGCAAAGTAACGCTAGGGGTCAGTGGGTTGGTTACGTGAACACGTCTCTTTGTAGTTCTTCGGTTGTTTACTTCCTTGTGGTGGCTAGCTGTTTTATCCCTGCTGAAAAAAGAAGTGGACACAAATGCACTCGAGGCAATACGTTTGATAACTGCACCTGCTAGCTGTTAATACACAATAAGAAGTGTGTTAATATCAAGTTTTAAGTGTTACAGAAGAAACCACAATACAACCTTTCCAGCAAATACATGCAGGTTGGTAGGTGTTTCACCCAAATGCCAAATAATTGCTGGTCCCAGCTTCTTAAATGTGACAATTTGCTGATATCTCTGTTTGTATTATTATACTTTATAAATAGAGTATTTGGGTGTTTTGGACTGTTGGTTGGAAAAAAACAACACATGGGAAGAAGTTCACTTGGACTCGGAGGACATTGATTCTGAAAACAATTGTTACTTGTTGTGGCCTTGATTTTAAATTCAAAAGAAAGGCGTTGTTTCAAATTGTTCTATAGTTCTCAAACTTAAACTAGTGCATTTTAATTCATCTTTAATTTAATAGTATATCATGTTTTCATTTAAAAGTAAATGTGTTAAAAGTGCATGTATATAATCACACTGCTATTAAATGCTAATTGTTTTTTTTCTTGTTTAGAAATACCAAAGAATCAGGTCAGTCAGTTCAAGTTGACTTTGTCTCTCTTTTTTAGCATTTCCTTTAGCCTGTAATTGTTCTTTGTGGCACCAGTGGGCACTGTTCAGCAACAACTATATAGGCTTTTATCTATTTTGAAAGATGATGAATTTTAATATTTATAGTATAGTATTTTTTACCCTGAAAATCAATGTGACACTGTGGAGTGAATTGACGTCTGTAGAACAAACACAAACGGGGGAAACTAGATTTACTCAAAAATACTTTGAGAAGCTCTGAGAAAAGCTAGTAAGTAGACCCAGAGGTGCATATATTGGACATTGGCCGATAACTGAGGACTAACAAAATAGTGGAAAGAAAATTAGTTTTCCTATAGAGCCAAGGATGTGGTGAATGTCTATTTGTAACTGGGTATAATACATAAAGGAAAGGTAAAAAGTAGGCGGGTAAAAAAGGAAAACAGGCTGTGAAACAGAGGTGGGGATTAAATTGGGTCGAATACAAAAGTGGCGAGGATGTATTTCTCATTAGGATCACTACTGCATGTCACTGAAAAGCCATCGGCAATTCCCTGTATCCCACAGGCAGAAATGGATCAGAGGTGAGTCCAGCCTCAACAACGTGCAGAATCATTCACACTCACTCTTTGTCTGTGTCTCTGTTTTACATATCATTAAATGTCTGCTGTGTGAAGAATAAAAAAAGCTATGTGCGCAGTTTGACATTTTTTTAAATCCCTCTACATTCTTTAACAGCTTTCCTCTTGTTGCAGCTATTCAGTAAACTCATTTACGTGTTATGCTTGATTAGATAAAGTATTATTGTACGATACTACAGACACTAGGTTGCAGACACACTGTAATGTGTGCTGTAAATTCTCTGGCATCCATCCAGTTTTCCCTCTAGCAACAATTACGAGTCCACTGATCAATATGGTCCCTTGCTGTTTTTCGTTTGAAGAACATGACCCTTTTAGGCATATGGCATTTATTTAATAATATATGCAGTTAGTTTACTGATTCATTTTGAGAGCAATTTAAAGGTTTGAAAATGAGTCCCTGGCTCCTCCTGTCCACATGTTCTACACAAGCTTGTCGAGCAAGAGAATGATACCCAACTTGCTCCTGATACGTGCATGTACAGGGGGAACATTTACATGGCTCTGGACAGAAGGCTATGCTAAACTAGAGAATGCAATTCCTGAAGAAATTGCTAGTGGGAATGCTTTATGCTGAAAAGCTGATGCTAAACTGTTATGCTGAAATGTAATGTGTAAGAAGAAAGTGAAGAATTTAGATTGAAATGATACATGAACACTGGGGGCTTGAATGTGTGATGAGAGAAGAAAAGAAAGTGAAAAGGCTTGGAAAAGCAGCAGAATATTTGAACTGCAAACTTTTGAACTAACTTGATGGCGAATGATCTGTCGCCATGCCAACGGCATTTGATGACATCCCATAATACGCTTAGATACGTTGATGGCCGCATCGTTACCAAACCTGTTAAGTTTGGTAACGATTTGGTAACGACACGGGTGTTTATATTTGAGCTAACAACGTGTCCAGAGATCAGAGGTTTCCATGGTGATAGTGAGAGGAGAGCATTTTCATTGTTCTGAATGAGAGATAAACCTCTTACATCAGAATGTTTTGTTGAAGAACCATAACGGATATCGGTGAAATTTCAAAGCGTGAAGCATGTCAAGGAACTTGACCATCTGAAGTGTACTTTTTGTGTACTTTCGGGTTAATAATGTGGACTTTTTGGCAGATTAACAAAAAGTGTGCGGCTGCTCTGGTGGGGAAAGGTGAGGCTGAACTTACAATGGAGTTGAATGGAGACATGTTGAAAGTGTTTGTCACTTCAAGCCCTCAAGAGGCATTTTATTTAATTATTTTGCTTAATTTTTTTTTATCTTTCAAGCTACAAGATGTTTTCCTACGTTTCTCATTAAATATTATGTCTCAGGAATGTAGGGTTTGGGAATTATGGCAGGTTTAAAAGAAAATATGAAGGCAAAATTAAATATGTCCTCCACTCTAGCTGTGACATCACGCACTCTAAAATCTGAAGAAGGCCTCTTTACCAAGGTCTGAACAATGTTGAATATCTCTAAAAGTAAGATTCAGATTTAAAAGTTATGTTACACGAATAATGTCAGAAAGTTGTGTAACATTTTAAAGTTGGAATGAGGTTTCTGAGTGAAAGTATGAAGGAGCAGTTGGCAGTTGAAGAAGGAGCAGTTAGCAGTTCATTTCATTTCATTTCAAACCTTTATTTAACCAGATTGGTCCCATTGAGATCATAGATCTCTTTTTCAAGGGAGACCTGCAGTTGAAGTTGCATGAAGATTGTTGAAGTCTGAATAGTTTCTCCATTGACTTCCATGTTAAAAATGTGATGAATTATGGGATGTATCTCTGGAATTATGAAAGTTATGAATGATAAAAGTAATAGCCATCGATTCCCGACCGAGCTATAGTGTGGGAGAAGAAGAGGCGCAAATTAACCCGGCGGAATAATAAAGAATTTTGTGCGTAGCATAACAGATGGTGGGAATGCTGTGTCAGCATTCCCACTAAATGACAGTACCTGTGTTTCTGGGAGAACAAGTAACCCAAGGAGAAAGTTCTGCATGGTTGTTTTCTGTAGTCAAATTCCATTGATTGCGTCACCAAGACATATTTACATTTGTATTGTTTTCTTTCACAATCTCGTTTCAGCTTTGGCTTCACACAGAGAGAGTTATTTTGTTTCGTTCTTGTTTTAAATCACTGTCTTTATGCTGTCATATCATGGTGTTTGTAATGTTTCTCATTATCCCCATCAGGTGGGGAGAGTAAACTGCATGATAAGAATTGTTATTCAGCACAAATGTAATTAATTCCATTACGAGATTCTGGCGGTTACAGTAGGATTAACTTGTGCTTCCTTGGTGCCTGTTCCCCACGTGTCTGAGACACAACTGGCCCAACCAGTCTGCTTTTCATTGTCAGTCCTGTCCTAATGAATCCACTGCTGCTCCTTTCCTCCACAGCTTTTACCCCACTAAACCTTAGGCTGTACTGTACTTCTGTAGGGAAAGCTGAACGACTTATGAGCTGGACTGTGTGTGAGAGAGACGGAGAAAGAGAGGATCACCACCCAACACACTCCTCGAATGCTACCTACAGCTGCTCTGCCGTTGCCATGGATACAGTGCCCTCTCTCCTCTCTCTTGGTGGGTATGGAGGGATGGGGCTGGAGAGGAGAGAGGAAAAGTGCCTCTGACTCCTGCCTCTGCGTCATATTAATACCAGACCAGCCCCCTCTCTTTTTCCCTCCTCCTTCTCTTTCCTTCCTTCCTTCCTTCCTTCCCAGCATCCAATGTGCACACTGCTAGACCCCCTCCCTTCATGTGTGTCTCCTATCTGCATCTGCTCATCACAGTCTCTCTCACTCTCTCTGGCGCAGCTTGGTTACCTCTGCGTGGCTGACCCAGGCGGACTTTTCGGAGCGAGCGTGGGCGCAGAAGAAGGAGGGAGACAAAGGTAAGCGTTGAGATGGAGGTTTGACTGTGAAAAACTGTGCATAAAAGACAAGGAGAGACAAGGAGAGGAAAGGAGGGGTGGGGGTCGCAGAACAACTGCAAGACAAAAGACTGAGAGGTAAGCATGAAAGGCTTGAACTCACCTGAGATAACAAGTATGGCACCTGGAGCTTTTTAAACATTTTGTTGGAAATGTGTGTAAGGTTGTCAGTGCATGCAAGGAAGTGTTTGTCTGCTGTCAGAGGAAAACATACCAAGAGTGTGTTTTAACTCAGTAAGCAAGACAGTGTGTGTGCTGTCTGTCACACAGTGTTACTGAACTGCTGAGGGTTCCCACAGTGTAGAAAACAGAGGGGGGAACTTCATTATTCTCACAGCAGCTTTTTGAGTGATGTGTGGACGTGTTGACAGAGCGGGAATCTCTGTATCTGCAAGAGACGAAGAGTGAGAGGAAGAGAGGGGAGACAGTGCAGCCAGTGGTGAAGTGCTCAGCTTCAAAGCTTAATCGCTCCTGGGAACAGAAGCCATTTTCCCAAAATCACAGACATGCACCGTTCCTTTTCTTCTCTCTCGCTCTTATCTCTGTCTCTTCCAGTGTTGGGGATGTCTCTCTCTAGCTCTCGCATCTGCTGTTGTTCAGAGTTCACCATATTACAGTAGCAGAATCTTCTGTACATGTCAAAGCCTACAAGGCGCACAAGGAACCGAATGGTGACAGAACAGAAGAGAGAGATGAGAGAACTCAGTGAGAGACAGACTTTGTTTAAACAGAAACAAGAAGTGTGTGGGAAGTGGAAATTAAAAGAGATGAGTAGGGAGAAAGAAAAGGAGGCCCGCAGTGTGGTTCATTGTGTCCTGAGAACAGTGTCTGACACCGTGTATGACATTTAACTCTGATGCCTCTGCCAGTACGCTGGTGTTTGGGGAATGCATCTGTCAGCTTACATTTCAGTGGAGACAGTTGTTTGTCTTTTGTTAGTATAATGGTTGTGAGGGAGAGACAACAGAGCTCTGAGGTTTGTTCAACTCTCCTGGGTTTCAACTCTTGTGTATCCTCTTGTTGGAGCCTCTTGGCTTCATGGATATATTAGACCAGTGGTTTAATGTGTTTTCAAAACCCAAACAGATGAAAAGATGAATGACGACTAATTTGGAACATCCATCATTATTTCAACCCATAGTATTTAACAACATTAATTATATAAAAGTAGATATTGTTACAACAAATTGTCGATTTGTAAGAACTTTTTTTGCATTTATACAACCCAATTATTTATTATAAAAGTGATGGATGAACTGAAATTAAAATGGTATAAGAAAAGGTAAAATGCTTAAGTAATGGGTAAAAAGTATTTAGGTAAATACCATACAGTATATACAGTGTTCTGAAAGTACTGGATTAGAGGTTTACATTGAAAGTTTTATCCATTATTTTGTATCTGCTTTCTAAAACATTTTCATGCACTTTCAATTGTGGTTGCAGTTCAACAGTCAATATGTGGAAATAATTCCTAAGAAATCAGATATTCCATTTAGTCCAATGCTACTCTGCAATTTTTACAAGTATCCCCTGAGGTACAAGAACCCTTTTTGTGGGAATCACTTTAATATACTGTCAGCCCTGATGTGTTTTTGCAGTGTAGGCTGAAGTTGTAATTTATTTAAACCTTTTGTATTTTTGATTGAGTCAGGATGACTCAATGACACGGGTCAATCTGTTATCCATCTGACGGGATCATGTACACGAGCAACAAAGACATCCAGCTCATGAGAGTCACTTATGTGCTCGTGTGTTTGTGTAGTCAAGTGTGAGATTTTAAGATTATTGGCTCGGAGAACAGGCAAGCTCGAGCCAAGAGAACTTATGGGATGAACGGAAAGGGAAACCAGAGACGTGGAGGAGGGAAAGGAAATGAAACAAAATCACATCAAGCTGCAGAAAGGTCATGGTAATATCAACTGGCTGAGGAGATTAAATTGCAAGTGAAGTGAAGATTAAAAAGCCAGAAACGAGTATAAAAGAGTCTGCTGGGCAGACAGTTTGCAGCCGAGTGAGACTGTTTACATGCAGCTCCGTGTCAACGAGTGCGTGCACGTCCCACATGCGCTCTCTTCCTGCCTCCCATGGGCTCTCAGTGTCCCTGTGCTCCAGGTGGGCTTTGCATTTTTAATCGATACTGTCTGTAGTGATTAACACCAGTCTTCTCTCAGAAACAGAAAAACAGACGCAAGAAGCGAGAGACGGAGACAGAAAGAGAGATGGAAATCTGTCATACACAAGGGGGAGTGTGTGTGTGAGTGAGTGTGTGCGCATGTGTGTTTGTTTGGCAGTAATGACCCTCTGCCTCTGGGCTCCTACTGAGTATGTTTATCTCCCACAGCAGCAACGGACAAAAATGGACGATGCATCACTGCCACACACACACACACACACACACACACACACACACACACACACACACACACACACACACACACACACACACACACACACACACACACACACACACACACACCTTGTGCATTTTCTCTCTTTCCTCCCTTTTGCTGTAATGACCTCCCCCTTGCATTATCCCTTTCAGAAACACACACAGTGCCTCGCTCCATTCCATATTACTTACTCCTGTCTCACATTATGTAAAAGCTCTGTCTTCCTATATCCCTCCTCTCTCATTTCCCCTCCCACTTGTGTTGCAATATGCCTATTAATGATGCAGCTAGAGCACCACTGCCAACTTCCTGCCTCTGACAGAGGGAGAGGAGTGTAGTTGTGGTGTACATGCCCTGCTTTGTACCACTCCCTCTAATCTCTCCACCCCTCTGTCGTTGTGTTGTTTTCCTCAGTTAGCCCATGCGAGCGGCTTGTGGACTGAGTGCAGCTGTTTCGTTCAGAGCAGAGCCCAACATGTGAGAAGATGTCTGTTGGAGGTTGTGCTTGTCCCGGTGAGTGCCTACAGTTTCTTTCTTTTCTCCCTGTTTCCTGTTCCGTCTCTGTGCTCAGTGGAGCTGTCAGAAAGATGACTTATGTAAAAGTGCTGCAAAGCTGCCTAGGGCCAGCGTCAGGCAGTGTTAGTTTGTGTGTGTGTGTGTGTGTGTGTGTGTGTGTGTGTGTGTGTGTGTGTGTGTGTGTGTGTGTGTGTGTGTGTGTGGACACGTGTAGCTGTGCTCCGCTCTTAACACATGTCCTAACCTAAAACAAGGTTATAGACTGAGGCTACCTCACTTTGAGATTGAGTTGTTCAGCAGACCCTTTCAGTCACGCTAGCTTGCTGTGCTGCAGAAGATCAATGGCTCTTTGAGTTTTGCCACCTACAGACACACTGAGATATCAATAAGTACTTTACTTGCTGGCTCTTTTCACTCCTTTCCTCAGCTTCATCTAGCCACTATAGATCTTCTTCTACATTATTTTTCTCTTATATGTATAAAGTAGTTGGTGAAAATCCCTGCTTACTGTAAAAAAAAAACGTTTTTATACCACAGGACAGAACTGAATGAAGCAGAAGTACTTTCCTCAATTTAAAATGGTTTTAATCGTCTCTCTTGATGAGTGCACACGATTAATGAGGCTTACTTAAAGATTTAACTAAAGAGTTGAATTTGCTTGGAGTTAAGCTGCTGTTTGGATATTAGGCAACTCTTTCTTAATGTGACTTTGCATTCCTGCATATTTCCATTTGTAACGCTGTTGTTACGCTTGGGTTGGCTTTTCCTGAAATCGACATTCTTGAGCTTTAAATAAATCTTACATAAAATGTGTCTTACTGCAACGCTATGGTGTCTAATTGGTAGTCAGTATTTAAACTCTGCACTTATGCTACCGTGTCAGAGTATGAAGAAAGTCAATCTAGTAGTTCTGTCTACACATGTCAGTCTTTGGCAGGCAAAATGTTGTGGCAGTTTTTATCAAGTAGATCTTATAATCTGTTCTCTCCCATCGAGTGTTTGATCCTGTTTGACTTTGGAGCAATTTCTCTTTAACGCTACCACAGTGAGACGGTTGCGTTGTGCACAATGAAAGCCTCAAAGTGCCAGGAGACTGCCTCCGTGCAGCACAAGGGAGCAAGGAACAGATAGAAATTGAATTGTACATCTGCTCATGGGGAACTCAGAGAGGGCAGATTGAATTAGGGTGTCAGTATCATTTTAATGGGGCTACTGTGATTCATTGGTAGTCGCCTATCAGATGGAATAATATCAGTGAGGTCTCGAAGCCTTCATGTTCTCCTGTCAGATTCTTTACTATCTTGTTTCCTCTCTCTGTGCTGTAGTTTTCCAGGAAATCTGCCTCCTTTGCTCTCTCTGTTGACAGACCCAACTCCAGAGCAGAACTTTTAATGACATCCACATGTTTTTCAAGGCTACACAGAGAATGAGGTCGACCCAGAGAGATCTGCCTTCAGCGTTCAAACACACAGGTTTACACATGTAGGCTTGCGTGCACATGGGTAGCAGGCATGTACACTCGCACACACCTTCACGAGGAACCTGCTAGGACAAGTTTAGGCTGCTGGGTCTGTCAGAACAATGACAATGATCAACACCGGTTTGCCTTGCTGTGCACACTGTAAATCATTATACTTGAACGCTGGTTTGTTTACATTCTTGCACTATTGTGGACGGAAGATCCTCCCCATCCTTTGTGTGGGAATCCAACAATTCTCTCTTTCGGCAGCACTTTCTCTTTTGGTCCTGTATGTCTTTGTTTTGTTATTGGGTCAAATCACTAAAGAACAGAGGAATCAGAACGGAGCATATTTGCATGTAGCAGAATGTGAGTCATGATTAAAAACAGGCTTCTCCTGTCTGTCATTGACAACCCTGTGGTATCCTGCTGTTGTTGTGACTTTGCTGTGAATCAGCCTTTTTAAGGCTTTGTTCCCCGCATGAAGGAGATCCGTCCTAACACAGTGGAGCCAATCACATCCTTTGTTCAGACTAAATTGTAAAAATAGATTGCCTGTGAGTCGAAGATACCCCTCTCTCCCTCCCTTCCCTTCTCGCATGCACTCAAGCACGCGCTCCCCTCTGCTCACCACTCTCTCCATCTCTCCCCCATCTCACTCTTACCCCTCCCTCTTATTTCTGCCTTCCTCATCTCACTCTCGCCCCCTCTTCCTTGTACCCCCCCTTTCTCTCTCTGTCACTCCTTCAGTGCCTTTTGCAGTAACAGTGGTGTTACCTCATGCAGAAAGTCACATGGCTCCTGATTGGAGAAAAGTGACTTTAAGCAGAACCAAGATGGCAGCCAAACGGCCAGGGTTTTTTTGATTACCGTTTCACAACAACACAACTGCCACAGCTTTATCTCGCTGCACTGAAAACCTTTTTACCTTCCTCAATTCTTCACTTCTTTTTTCCTAGTCCCCTCCTCTCTCTACCCTAGTGAGTCCCTCAGATCTTGTTTGCTAGATCAAAATGGCTGTGTGCAGAGGCAGAGAGAAAGAAGGAATGCGTGGGAGACAGAGATGCTGGGGAGTCAGAGAGATGAGGGGGGGGGGTTGTAGAGTGGAGACGTGCTGTAGTGATGTCACATCTGCTGCAGGCCGACAGGATGGCAGAGGAAAGCTGGCATGTGCCACATGGAGGGGGAGGATGGGGGGAAGACAAAATGTGAAGGAAAGAAAAAATGATTATCTGTCAAAGCACACCTTTATTTGTGGGAGAAGCCGCAGAGTCTTTATAACATGAAAGCAGGTTTGGTACTGAGGTACAGTAGAAGGTTACAGTAACATTGCTCAGATTGAAACAGAGCTGTGTTCTGGAAACAAAAGGTGTGAGGAGGACAGCCGCAGAGTACATTGAAAGCGTTCTGCTTTATCCCTATGCCACCTACGTGTGTGCAAATACAACTGTTTACAAGGTATACAAAGTATAGAAAACTAAAAGATTTAAGCAGCTTGTTTTAGCTGGTGTCAAAGATGAATTGTGCAATCAAGTATAAGAATATAAAGACAATCATTGACAGTTTTTTCAAGGAATTCCTGCCATAAATAAGAAAAGAGTACTTCTGACTTCAATCAGACGAGTATTTCCCTAAACTGAAAATCAGGCAAGAACCAAGACTTGAATAATGATGTCAGAAAGGGGAGTTGGTCCATTTTCTTGGAAATAGTGACTGAATCATCATGCTTATTTAATTTCAGAGATGTAACATTAGAATAAGTATTCATGGCTTCATGTTGTAAATTAGATTAAGTGTCCAACTTCCAGTAAATGCAGGTGCTGTGTCATAGTGGTTTAATTATTCAGAATCTGTGTCATAGTCCAAGATTAGTCTCTTAATAATATAACGCTGCAGTCAGTCTCTCTGTTGTCCAGTTCAAGATCAGAAATGAATGACTCATGCAGTATCATAAGAATAAAAGTGTAAGTCCTGTTTTTGTGGTGGATTTTCTTTTTCTATAACACATTATAGAAGGGACTTTGGTTAATTATGACTCTTTTTTTTAGGATACCTCGTTTAATTCCGTGGATGTTGGCACAACAGGACAAACCATATAAATGACCAAACCTACAGTTTACACTGCAGCAGATCCAGTTTGTCAACAACAGGCTAATTCTGATTCAGACCAGTGACCCCTGTCATTGCAAAGTGTCCATAACACCAACATTCACACACTCCCTTTCATTTGTAATCCATCAACCTTCTTTATCTGGAACACATGCTGTTTGGCTTCCTCCTGTCAGCCCACAGCAGCATCCTCTGGGCGCAGTCTGTGTTAGTGCTGTCTGCTGCCGTGTTTCTATCACTACCAGTCAGGTGTCACAACGGTTTCCTTGACAGGTTTCTGCTTCGTCTTGAAGAGCAGCAACTGGAGTCTTAACATGCTGTTCACCAGCGCTCTCTTCAGTTTTCCTCACTACTGATTCACTCTCACTGTCAAAAGTGTGCACATTATACACACATCATAGTAGTACTTGAAATATGCTTTCAAGGCATGTTAACATTACATATGTCTGACTTGTTCACAGCTCACAACAGTTTTTTTTCAGTCAATCAGTTTATTTTTAAATGTTATAGGTTGTCTTCTAAAAAAATAATATAATAACTTTCTTACGTACACTCACAAACAGGGATTTAGTAAGATGTTGTGTCTGTGGTTAAAACTGCCCTGCATTGTGGCAGGCGTTATAATATATTGAAGGTTTGCGTGCTGTTATGGAAAACTGTTGCTGAAAAAAAACAATACACATTATTCACTTACTAGGTACTATTTTCTACCTTTTCTAGCTGTCTTCCATTATAACCTCTTCAGTGTTTCCCACAGATCTGAAATATACTTCTGGTGTTAGCTGAGAACGGGGACTTTATGTTTCCCACACATAAAGTGTATGTGTGGGAAACCCTGCACTTTATTTAGGGACATTTTCGTAAATTCCATACTATTTTCCATGTATGGCCAAAGATGTAGCTACTAGTGTACCCTCACTCATTTCAGATACATTCTTAGTCATTTTGTTCTGGAACAGGGCTTGCACTGAATGTATTTCTGTGTTAATGCTATGCAGTCCAACTTCTGCATAAAACAGTATGTGTAAAGTGGTCTTAGAAGCTAAGGATCTATAAATACAAGAAATCGTGTGTAGTACAAGACCAGTTTTCCGGGGACTAAAATAGAACTGAGTTCTTGTGCATATGACTGCTATTTAATGTTATCACTACCTGCCGGTGCTACTTACCTGGTACTCGGTGTGTATGTGTGCATATAGTGTATGTGTGACTCTAACTAAATACAGATGAAATAGGATGCCGTCTTTCTTCAGATGGCCCACTCTTAAAATAAAAGCATTATTGTGCATGTTATTGGTTGTTATAATCATGGAATAGGCAGATAAAGATATAGCTACATGATAGAAAACGTATAGTTTATTTTATTAGAAGCTCCAGGTTATTCGTCAATAGTTTACAGCATAAACTGCTGGATAAAGTTCATTGTCTTATACTGTTGTATTCTGAAGCATGGGGATGTTTTCAGCGTTTACCAGCAGAGGGAGATGCTGTTCTGTCACATCTCTTCTTGTGTCAGTCCATCAACACTGAACACAGGCAGACTGGGGAATCATTGTTTTCAACAAGAGATCCAAGATCTGGGCGTGTTACAACAAAAGGCTTTAGCCTATCTTCTATATTCCCTTTGTAGCTGTTTAATTCTTAGTTTTCTGTCAGAACTTAAAGACAACTCACTGGATTTAATCACAGTTCATTTATCTAGAAAGCGTTTACCAACCAGAGTTGTACAGATGATGTAGCCTACCATTTTCATTTGTATGGCACTCTCCTGTCAATCTATTGCTGCACTTCTCTCATCTGCTCTCCCTGCTTACATAATTCGACAAACCTACTGCAGCTCAAGTGAAAGCCTCAACAAATTGAGCTTTAAATGCACTTTGTGACCACAAAAGGTTTTCTGGGCTTCAAATATATTGCTTGTAAACATGAGAGTGGGTATTGATTAAAAGTGAGGCTGCAGATTATACCCTTACATAATCTGAGGCTCAGGACTGCGGTCTGAAGGATTTGAGTCATCTGCTAAGGCTGACAATTTTCATAAGCCTTCACAAATTTGGCTCGAATTAAACAGCCTTTTTAAGTAACTAGTCTTTTTCTAACATTTGCTGAACAGTGTAGACACAGCATCTGAATCACACGTTTTTCTTTATAGTTACGCTCAGGATGCAATGTAGAGTACTGGACAAAGGTGCTTGTCAAAATAGTTCCAGCAGCCCTAGCAACATTTTCTTTTAAATAATCGATTACCCAATTATATAATATGTTTAGGTGTCAATAACCCTGCCATACAATGGTTGTATTAATGCACCAGGACAGAACAATATTAAAACAATTACTGCAAAGTTTCACAGCAAATAGACCTGAAAGTCTTTGGTCTGTGGTTGAATGCAGACATCAACTGTTTATTTTTTAAATGTAACCTTAGTATTTTTTTTATAAGGAACTGTGCTTAGATGAACTAATGGTCTACTTATACTATTCAAACCCACCAGACTTCTAAGTTCAAGTGATACGATAATACTTTATTGCTCAGATCAAGTCTGACATTTGATTTGCATCACAGCAGCTCATGTGTAACATCAACATAGACAAATGACACAAGGCATGAAAAACAAACAACAAACATTTAACATAACATCACAATCACTGAGAGAAAACATTTTCAAAGACCCTTTAGCATGCATTTGATCTGGGATTTTGCTCTGTTACTGTGAGGATTGACTGATGCACAACAAAGGAGTGCTTCAATCTGACTTTATTGAATCGCAACAATAATAATGTTATAGCCTACTTTAATTTAGTAGAATGGTGATTTAATAAAAAACATTAGGCATATTGACATAGTCAACATTTTGTAGCTTTGAAAACAGAGTTGGTACAAGCTGATACAGAATATAAATTAGTTTGTCCATACGAAATACGTGTGTGTTAAGGGGCAAAATGTGGGCTGATAATTGATCCTCTCAACGGGGACCCATCTTGTTCCACTCGGGGTTCCTCTTTTGCCCCTACAGTTCCAGGACAAGACAAATTGGGATCCCTGCTGGCCGTGGAGCGAGGCCCGTGTTTGTCCGGTCTGTGTGATGGGATGGGCGGGGGAGCCCGAAGGAGGCGGGGCCTTTGTTTTTTTCGTGTCTCGGCTGGCAGGAACAAAGGGTCCTGTAGTAGTAGTAGATAGGTAGCACCGTCCCCCAAACAAATGCCATTTAAAACATACAGTCGGGCATTGAAATTTGACAGGAACCAGGGCAAGTATCGGAGTTTTTTCTTCTTCTTTTCTCCGTCGCTTGCCGTCCTGTTTGGGACGTAGGATTGATCGTTCCATTACCAACGGTCGGAGCTGGAGCTTTGACTGTCCAGCCGCTCCGGCTAGCAGAGAGGCTAGCTGTCGAGAAACACCGAGCGGAGGTGTTGAGCAACTCCGCCTTTCGGTGGACCTTTCTCTGCAGGTAACTCAAACTTACAGTCACATTACTTTGGCAGCTCTGTTGTTTCAACATAAATGCAGAGACCACTAGTGAAGAAGCACAGGAAATTATAATTGCACGGCGCTAATAACGGGAGTTTAGCATCTAGCTAGGTAATAGCTTAGCAATGGCATCGGTCCTCGGTAAATGAATGCGGCCCTGCAGATCAATTTACGCCTTGTCCCGAAAGTGAATACTGCCTTATTTTTTTAAATATCTATTGTGCAGGTCCACATACATAACAAAACATAAACACCAATAAGCATCTCAATGGTGTTGGCCGTATTGATACATTGCTTTGGATCTTTTATTGGCTGAGGGCCAGCCTCTGGATGCAGCTCTATTGTTTGCAATGAACAGTTTGGGCGGACTAAACTGCATCAAAGTCACACTATTTCGAGTTCCCCATTTGTTAGATGGGTTATGCATCATGATCTTAATTCTTAGTCGGCTTCTTCTAAAAGATGCTGACTGGCTGGAGTCATCCATCTCAATTTGTACCCAACGTCAGGTTGCTTTCCTGGTCGTTTCTTTCTGGCCCGTGGCATTATGTATGCATCTGTTAGTCTGAGTGCTGTAATCCGCAGATGGTTTTTATACAGGTTTGATGCTGGAGCCTGGACAGCTTTTTAGAGTGCTTGTTGGTTGGTATTCAAGGTGACAGTGAACTGTGTGTCAGCATTTTGTAGAATTTCTGTTTCTGAATGTGTAGGCATGTTATTCTGGAGAAAATAAGAATCCTGCTCTTATTTGTTGCCTTCTGGTTTTTGCATTGCCTTTTTAGATTAAACAAAGACTGCTTATTTGTGTTTGAGTCTTGTCTGCATCTAAGGCTGTTGTTGGGTTCTTCTGAGCAGGTCCACCCACATAGTAATGGGAGGAGAAGTTGACCTGCTGTGACTCTTTCTGGAGTAAGGGGGTGAAGGGTTAGACAGAGCGAATGAAGGTGTTTTATTTGTTTCAGCAATAGAGACTGGACAGACAGATCAGAGTTCACCCAGACATACTTGACCCCAATTCATCCCTTTCTCCCTCGATTTGTCGTTCATCTTTCAAAAACATCATCATTTGTAGTCTCTGTCTGTGGCGTATCCATTAGGTTAACACAAATGTTGTAGTAAGCCTAAACGATACAGCACAGTTGGGTGTGATGCGGCGCTCGAGCGGCCTACAATGAGTGCCCCCCTGCTGGTTTTAATTTGGTACACTTACTATTTTAGACGCCCTGGTGACAGTGACTGAGAATTGTGCCTGAATTGGGAAAGTAACAAACTAACACCGTGCGGCCTTCAGGTTTCTATGGGGATTGGTAATACTGGATTTACATGCAATAATCAACATTTCCAAAGGGGAAACATTGCCCATATCTGTTTATCTCCTTTGAATGCATCATCACCACACATATTCATTTCCTTTGGGTCCCTTTACACATTTCTGTTTCGATGCTAACAAGTAGTAAAGCCAAAGGGTAGTTGTGATGGGCAAGTCAGTTTTTCGAAAGGTTATTTTTCTCAACATCCCAGTCCACAACTATCAGCTGGAGTATCCCACATCTTTAGGCGGAACTAATTAGATCCAGCCACTGCCTGTGTGAGGTCTCCTTGAGAAAAGACGTTTAGAATAGATGTTTTTCTCATAGCGCTGATTGTCTGAGCATTAATGCCTTATCTGGACAGACATGGGTTAACAACTGCTGGGATATGAGTGGGGGATGGGTAAATAAGGCAACTAGAGGGGGAGACGCACACAACACAGGCGCATGGTTCGATTACATGGGGCTGAATGCACAGAGGAGGGTTCCCTATAATGAGCACGGAGAACATGCCAGACAATCTCCTCTGATGTGTCCCCCATTTCACTGATTGTTTTCTCAGGCTGGCTAATAAATATTGCTGTTTTTCCTCTCCCTGTGATGATTTGTTTTCTTGTCCATTTACTAAATGGAAGATGCATTAGATAATGAAAGCAGCAGGAAATTGTTTTGGCAGCTTGCTTTTTATTTGAGTAAATCTCCACAAAATCATCCAGCATTAGATTACTTAGATGATGCTGTGATTTGAACGAGCTAAGTCCAAAGCAATCTAAATCTCCTCTAAATCTCTGTTCTTTTTCCCCTCCTCTGCTGCGTGCTTCTCTGCAGGCTGTTCGTCAAAGTCATTCAAGCTGTACTCTCCTAAGGAGCCCCCCAACGGCGGCAGCTTTCCCCCCTTCCACCCAGGAGCTATGCTGGACAGAGATGTGGGGTAGGTCTGGGCTATACTGTCAAATGCAATATAGGTTAAAGCAGGGTATTAATCCTGATGTCTTCCTTTCTACAACTTGTAATATGTTAGTCATTTGTTGACATAGAGTTTACTGAAGAATACGTGTACTGTGTATATGTATGTTTTTTATTTTATTTTGTTTTGCATATTCAAATTGCACTGTTTCATCACCCAAACTTTGAACGTGATATTGAATTGAAATCAAATGAGAGATACTGAACATGTTAACCCTTTTTTAATACCTTCCTGATTAATGATTATGTGGATGTGTATTTAAAATCAACTAGCCGTGAACAATTAAAACACACATCCTGTCTCGAAGCAAATGGTTGCTGATTTAGTTTTGTATTCCTCTTAGGCCTACACCCATGTACCCCCCATCATACATGGAGCCTGGAATGGGGTGAGTGCTTAACTTTAGCTTGTAGCTGTCTTAACTCAGAATGTATTCTTTCAGTCTTTATAATCTCTACTCTCTATTCATTTTATAACACATAAACATTCAATTCACCTGCTGTTAAATGAAGCTTGAGACCGCCTGTGTCATTTGTTTATGCTACATGTGTTAAAAATCACAAAACTGCAGAGTGATTAAACCCCCCTTCTTTCTGTTTCAGGAGACCCACACCGTACGGGAACCAGACAGATTACCGGATATATGAGCTGAACAAAAGGCTACAGAATTGGACTGAGGTTAGAGTCACTTCATCATCCGCATAGAGAGTAACAAGAACTCAACACCAAACAAAAACACAGCACCAGTGTTTCATTTTCAGGCTTCTTGTGATTACTATCTGTAGTGCTACATTCTGCAGCTCACTGTGGCCGTGTTTTCAGATGTCCCGTCCCCAGCTGCTGTTTGTGTGTAGCTAACCATGCTAGGGATTTATGGGAAATGAAGCCCGAGAATGCACTGACTTAATTTACATTCAGGCTCTAATAGGATTATCTGATCAACCTGGCTAAAATGTAATTGGAGTGCCAACTGTTTATATGCCTGAGCTCGCTACTGAGTAGCCGTTATGAGCCACCCTTTTTATATGACTGTCAGTGTGCACACTATTAGAAATGCATTCACAATGACTTCTGTACATTGGGGGAATTTAAACACACTTTAGTTTTATGTCCAACAAAACAAACATGATGTCTGAAGCCCAGCATGCTTTATTTAGGAAGTTCAACTCTCAGCTTTTTTGCATGTCTTCACTGCACCAGCAATATTTACTCATCTTTAAGAGCACCTGTGTCTGTATTAGAGAAAGTTCAACTATGCAGGAATAGTTGAATGGTTATTTAAATGGTAGATTAGAGGAAACAAGAATTTCTGCTTCTTCTTTTGAGTGGTTTCATATCAATTTCATCAACTTCAAAAACCTACTGCTCAATTACAAAGCCCTACATAACCTGCCCCCCCCCCTTATCTGGCTAACCTTCTTCAGCAGTAAACCCCCTCTCGCTCCCTCCGCTCCTCCTCTGCTGGTCTGCTAACCGTCCCTACGCCTCGTCACCATGGGTGCTCGGGCCTTTAGCTGCACTGCTCCCAGACTCTGGAGCTCCCTCCCCCCGCACATCCGACAGTCAGACACAATCACCATATTCAAATCCCAATTAAAAACCCACTTGTTCAAATCTGCCTACTCACTGTAGTGCTCCCCATTATATGTTTCATTTGTGTCCACTTGACTGTCTCCTCCATGATTTCCTGTTTGTGTTTTTATCATGTTCTGTTGCCTATTAGCGTTTCCTTTTTAACA